GGCAACCAACTGATGTTTCTGTCTTTCCCCCTTCCCCTCTCTCTAAAATCAATAAACATATCTTCGGGTGAGGATTAAAAGAAAACCCAACAAAACAAGTTGTTAGGTCTGGCTCATACTCGGGGTGGAAAGGGGCGTGTTGCACAAGGGCTTGGGTACCAGGAGGAAGGGACCACTGGGGGCCATCATAGAGGTTGCCTACCACAAGGTCTTCTAGCTACACCCTCGTCTTGAACTTCCCTAAGTCCATATTTTTTAATATGTTTATTGATTTTAGAGAAAAAGGAAGGGAGAGAAACATTGATGTGAGAGAGAAACACTGATTGGCTGCCTCTCATAGGTACCCCAAATGGGGATCGAACCCGCAACCCAGGTAATGTGCCCTGACCGGGAATCAAACTCCCAGCCTTTTGGTGTATAGGACCATGTTCCAACCTACTGAGCCACAACTGGCCAGGGCAAGGCCATGTTTTTCTGATACCACCTTGGATTTGACCTTTGCCATTTGGCCATTTCTCGTTTTAAGAGTTTTGTCCTCTGGAGAAGCTAGAAAAGACAAATAGTTTTCTTTCAAATCCAGGCAGTCCTGGACTTTTTTGTGTTAAATGTTGATTGACGATGGAAGAGTTCCTTTTTTTTCTTTTTTAGCTCATCTGACTTCTTTTGTCCTATATCACAAGTAACTGAAAGAAACTACTCAACCCTTTCAACAGTCTACCCAAATATCTCCTTAGCCAGATCCACATGCTCATGAGATATCGTTTCTCTCTTCCATGTAACAGCAGGCTAATTTAGCTCATTGTTCTTCCAGTACGCAAATGGCGCGCCCCTCTCTAGCGTGTAGTGACAATGGTCTCTCTGTCCGTTAATAATACTCTTTCACTAGAAGACTCAAAGTTCTTCCAGCTTCTATCCTCCACCTGATCCCAAAGCCACTGCCACGTGTTTTGGGTTTCTGTGACAGCTGGACCTCACTTTTGGGTTTGTCATTATGTGTCAGTTATCTATTGCTGTGTAACAAACTACCCTAGAGCTTAGTGTTTGAACACAACAGCACTCATTTTTTTGCTAAGCTTTGCAATTTGGGCACGACTCAGTGAAGGCAGCTCCTCCCTCTCACATGTGGCATCAGGTGAGGCAGCTAAACTAGGGTCGGATTATCCACTTTCAAGATAAGTCGCTGACGAGGCCGGCAATTGGTACCGGCTGTCCGCTGAGAGCTCAGCTGGGCCTGCAATTCTCTTCCACGTGGGCCTCGCCACATGGCTGCGTGGGCTTCCGCAAATAACTGGAGGGAAGTGATTGAATCTCAGAACTATTTAGGAGGTGCTGGTCAGGAGGATGTTGCATAACAATGTGAATATACTTCATCCTACTGAACTGTACACTTAAAAATGGTTAAAATGGTAAATACTATGTGGTGTGTGTTTTTTTAGCCACAATTAAAAAGTAATAAATAAATCAGGGGAAGATGGTGATGGCCTCAAGATGGGTGGGAGTCGGGTGAAGGAGAAAGAAGTATCATGGATGACAAAACCCAATAAAACAGACCCGGGCCTCCAAAACCTTTTTTGGTCCAGCAGGAGGGTTAACAATCACAACACATGTGGTAGATACTGCAGCTTTCTGCTGTAGTGCTAACATAGACACAAAGCCCGTGCCTCAAAATAGGCCTTAAGGCCTGTGATTCCCAGAGAGAAACATTTAAGACATAATTATAGGTTTCGATTTCTTAAAGCATGCCTCAAAATGAACAGTGCCAGAGAAGCAGAGATGAGTAATAAAAACTACAGGTGCACACAATCTTCCCCTATCAATCCAGCATGTAACCTGGTAGGCCAGAAGCAATGCGGTAGGGTGGTAGACGGAACAGAAAGCAGATGTTTCTTGGTCATTAGCCCTATTTTTCTAGGATATAAAGTCCCTTTGTTGTCTTGTAACTCTTAGTGTGTCTGGAAACTATTGCTACTTAGGAGATATCACTTTTGGAACAAAACAGGTCATAAAGATCATTTATATCCTGAAGGAATGTACATTCTCCTCCCATCCCCACCACCTCACACACAGTCAAACTCCTTCCGCGCGCTCACAAGGTTGGATAAATAGCCAAATTTACACAGATTTTCATTGAGTTCTGTTGGCAACACCAGTCTATTGTTCTTCCAAATAAGTCTAAACCATTCTTAATGGAAAGGACAAAACAGCAGTTCCCCTTTTACAGGCGTATTACCTCATCCCCATACGCTTTTCTGAACTTCACTATCACCGTTGACTATACATTCCAGGTCTCCCTGCTTTGTCGTCAACTGCCTACTGTGTCCGCTGACTGGCTGAGTGGCGCGGTTTCATGTTTTATTTCTTGAAATCTCATCGGGTGTCCCCTTCTGCACAAGCTCTCTCTCTGGGGCTTCCCCTCTGCAAAATAACGAAGGCCACCGCCGTGGATCTGCCCAGTGCCCTTGCGGCAGCGCTCGGCGCGGAGACGCGTCCATGCACGCAGGCCCTCCTGCCCCTTCGTGGGAGGATCGAACGCCATTCAAGCCTGAGAATCAAAACTGGTAAGACAATGTGTTCATTCATTCAAAAATAAATACTGAGAGCCTACTATGCATTAGGCACTGTGTAGGTATTGGGAACACAACAATGAACAAGCCAAACAAGGATCCTCTCCTGAAACTTATTCTTGTTTTTTATCCCAGAGATTTTTGACTTTTAATAAGGGACAAAATGCTGGCTTGGCTTCAAGACAAAAGAATCAGGTTCTATGTTTGGAATTAAGCCACAGCTCCCTGGGTGGGGTTAGGGGAGGTTCTCCCCGCAGCTGGGAATCACGCATGTCCCACCTACTTATAAATGGAGTCTGACTGGAACCATCAATGACTAGATCAACTGTCATTTTTCTTGGGCCTTTGCCAGGGCTCCTGCAAGACAATGGCTTTCTGTGAAGTATATTAAGTAGAAGGCAAGAAAGGCCAGGGAGAGTGAAGTGCGGGCATCTATCGGCCCGCACAGGGGCCCAAGACCCCCACTCAGCCATTGCTCGGGAAGACATTGCCCCCTCGTGGCTCCTCACACAACCCGTGAGGAGCTGAAGTGGAAACGGCTGTCCACGTTTCCAGAGTGATTGCAACCTTTGCCTCCTCTGAACTTCAACCGCAAATTGAATCGAGTCTGGGTTTATTTTCATCCAGGACACACCTTTCTTCTCCCATTGAGAGCAATGACAGCGTGACAGCAATGAAATCTGTAGCAAAACCTTCAGAGTCCCCGCGCCCCCAAGAAAAATCCAGTATGTAAATCCAAGAAGCACTACTGGTTTTCTCTTCATCAAGCTCCTCAAGCAGACATTTGGCTTTCCGCAGTTTGCACCAGGATCTGCGATTGCGTTGCCGTGGAGTTGTTTGGGGTTATCTTGTCGCTACAACACCACTTTCAACTCCCCGACGCGGAAGCCTTATCTTCAGTTCCCACCGCCTCCCTCACCGCATTCCCAGCAACACTTCGGGCATTTCCTAAAGAATGTTCATCGGGGTGGGGGAGGGGGGAGAGCTAAACAGTGAAGCAAGACAATAAATAATTAGAAATTGGGATTGTTGCTGTGCTAGAAAGGACCAGCACGCCGGGGGAGGGAATGCCTGGGAAGGGGGAGGGAAGCAAAACCTATGGCTGCGTGGAGTTTTAAAATTCTGTGTTTGTTGCAGTCACGGTTAAAAAGCTTAAGCGATACAGTATTGGAAAAGCTCTCTCTGGCCCAGGAATAAATGGAAATTTCGTTAATAATGTTGGCTTCCATGTATCGGAAACGTAAGCTGCAAGGGCAAGAAAGGGTGCCACGTGCTAGGCTCTATCACCCTATCACCTCCTCCAAAAGCCAACTCCCGGGAGAGGGACACAGCTACCCCCGGTTCACAGGTGAGAAGAGGAAGCAGGCGGCCCTTCCGAGGCCGGTGCCACAGCCGCCCCGCGCCCTGACCTCCCAGGAGGCCCGAGCCCTTTCCTTTCTGCGTCGACCCTCTGAAGAGACCTGCAGTGGCCTCCAGTTTGGCTTGCAGGGCGGATGCCTCCCTAACTCCGTAAATGCATGTCGAGTGTCTACTACTATATACCAGATAGCGTATTTTAAAAGCCGTGGAATTAAAAAAGATAAACTGCGCAAGCGTCCTGTTTGCCAGGGAAGATCTCTCACAAGGGAGAGAGAGACAGGCAGGTAAAGAGATGATTCAACAAGAGTCTGAGAAGAGCTGGGAGAGGAATCTGAACAGCGACCCCGGGGAGCCGCGTGGGGAGCAAGGCGGCGGATGGGGGCGGGGGCTGCAGCGGGGTCGGAGGCCCCGCGTGGGAGGTGGGCTTGAAGCTGCGCCTCGAAACGCGGGCGCGGGCCGCCCCCGGATGTCACTCCAGTTCTCGCATCCTGTCACTTCCAGCTGCCAACTAGGAAGGGAAGAAACGGGTCTAACCCGGTACTGAAAAGGAGGGCTAGGCTGAGGCTGGGGCACAGAAGTGCAAATCCCTCGTGAGAAACCAGCAAACAAAAGTAGCAGCACATCGCACTTCGCGGTGGTCGTACAGGCAGGGCCTGGCTCCCCGAAGCCCCGCGCCAACTCGCGCGCACCGCCACACCAGCTCGCCCACTCGGGCCCCGCACCGCCGCCGGGGCGCCAGGGGCCGACCAACCCTGAGGTCACCCGGCGGACCCGGCCCTCCCTCCCGTTCCGGGCCCTAACTCTCCGACCTACCGCGAAGCGGCGGGCTGGGGGTCGGCCGCATCCCCCGCGGCCCGCGGCCCCTCCCCGGCGCACGCCTTCGGGCCACGGGACAGCCGCCCTCGGCGCAGCCCCTCCTTTGGCTGGGGGCTTCGCCGTCCCCGTCCGGTCCCTCCCGGCGACAGCCTGCTGCCCCGTCCAGGGAGGGCGGAGGGAGGAGGAGGGGGAGGAGAGGGAGGGGAGGAGGGAGGGGAGGGAGGCAGGCGAGAGAAAGCGAGCTGCTCGGATCCCGGACTTCCCAGAGCCTTCCTGGAGCGCGCACTTCTCTGCTCTCGGGTCCCAGCGCCCCAGCCGCTGCCCGCGCCCCGCCGCGCCTCACCTCCTCCTCTTCTTCCTCCTCCTCCTCCTCCTCCTCTTTGGGCGCCCCTCGCCCCTCCCTCCAGTAGCCGCTAGGCTCGGGCTGCTGCAGCCTCCAGCCCCTACTCGACCACATCCCCAACTCTCTGGGGTCACTGCTGGGACGCGCGTCCTCGCCCCATCCTTTCTTCCTTCCTCCCCTCGCGCCCGCCCTCATTCCCCAGGTCTCCCGCCCGGGTCCCGATTGTCTCCGTCCCCTCCCCAGTCAGCCGGCGCCTCGCCCTGCCCGAAGTCTCCCTCGCACTTCCTGAGTCGCCTGCCGCCGCGGTCGCGCCGCGCCCGGGATCCCGAGCCGCCGCTGCCCGGCTCCAGCCCGCCGCGCCCGGGGAAGGGAAGAGTGGGCGAGCTCGCCCTCGCCCAGCCCCGCGCCCCAGCCCTGCCCGGCGAGGAAGGACCGGGAAGATGAACAACGGCGTCAAAGCCGAGAAGGAGAACGCCCCGAACGAGGCCAACCTTCAGGAGGAAGAGGTACGGAGTGGCTCGGTGCGGTGGCGGGTACGACCTGGGACGCCGGCCGCGCGCCGGGTTTCTCCAAAGTGCGGGCAGAGGCTGGCGGGGCGTGGGTCCCGGGTCCCGGGGCGTCGCAGTCCAGGGGCTGGGAACTTCCCCAACGCTGCCGCTCCGGGAGGGTGTATCCTGGAAGAGGGTGTTTTTGTGTTTTTGTGGGTGCGTGCCTAAAATTGCGTAACTTTGAGGACTTTTCGGAGACTTGTAAAGCATAATGCTCAGCTTTGTTTGCCCGAGATTTTAAAAGCGGAATCGAGAACTGACTCCTGGGTGACCTCAGATTATTGGGACCCGAAGGGTCCGGACTGACCTCTGCGCCCGGCGCTGTAAGTTGTGTCGTGTGTTTGGGGATGCGGCTTCAAGAACAACTCGGGGGAAGTTGGTCTTAAAAGATACCTTCTGTTCCCTGCCCCCTCCCTTGCAGCGTTGGAAGTTCTTGGTGAAATATCTTTCCAGCTGAGGCATTTTGGATTAATAGATAACTCCTGAGCCGCATTCTTCTCTGATGAGTCAAAGACCCCGAACCTGGGTGATTAGGTTTTGTAAATTTAGAGCGATGCGGTCGTGAGGAGCAGGGAGGACAGAAAAAAAAAAAAAGAGTTGAAACTTTACAACTTACCAAGTGATCATCGAGGCTGTTTTAGAAGGACTTTGACTTCTTTCTGAGCGCAAATTTCACGTGGTGGGTCCCAAATAACGATAACTATGTTGCGGCTGCGCAGCGTTCCTTGGATAGAAACAAAATTCAGCGAGGGCAGGAGGGAACTTCTGAACACGCGTTTCAGAATTTTGTCATTAGAGTATTTGTGGTGTCCTGTTCAGTGGTTCTGTTCCTGCAGGTACATTACCTGGAGTCCAAGAAACAATATTTTCGCTTACTTTTTAAGATCCCACCTACTTGAGTTCTTAAACATTCTTAAAGGAACTTTAGAGTGTTTGGAGAGGCAAGAAAATACACATCTAGATGCGACCTATCAACCATTCTTATGGGTATTGCATCCTGATATATAAATTTAACAGAAGGATAAGCAGATTTTAAAGCAGTTAGGATGTTGAGATTATTACCGAAATATTGTGTTATGTGCAAACTAAAATTCTGGTAGTGAAACCAAACTTGGGGGAGAATTCAATAAATACATATAAGCCATCTGCACGTTGTCCTGTTGTAAAATGGGAACTATTATTGTAAAATGGGAACTATTTAAATAGGGAAGATAAGAGAGACCTAAGACCATGCAAAATTAAGACTTGACTCTTAATACAGCCGTAAGGTAGTGTACCGTGGGTGAATGGCAGCAAGCTACCTGAGGAAATTGCCTCTTTGATTATAAACTTACTTTGAAGAGTGTTGTTTACATTCTTGTTCTTAACTACAAGCAAAGAAATAGTATTGACATTTTCTCTTTCAAAGAGATGAAGATTCAAATTTCAAGTTCCATTTTTTTCCCTTAAACCTTACCTGCTGCTTTGCTATTTTTCCCTACCATTGAAATAAAATGTAAAAAAACAATGACAAGCTTTCTTTTTTTAGAATTGCTACATTTAATTCATCTGATGTATCTAGGTAATTGCTTCAGAAACTTTCTATTCAATTAGATATGCATTCTGTTTACTTCTGAGGATGAGACTACATTGCATAAAACCATCTTTCTCTGTTAACACAATTAAAACTTGTAAATGGAAAAAGTTAATCAGGTACACCAACAGTTTCTTCTTTCTTGCTTTGTTGCTTTTGGTGGGTAGTAAAGAGGTTTAAATGTCCCAAAACCATAGCCTACTTAACTTGACAAAATTAAATAGAGAAAAGTCATATTTTTCTGCTTGACCTTTCTCAGCCTACCTGCTGACAGTACTGAGGTGTTGTCTGCCCTTGTCACTGGTCACCTTAACATGTGAGATTGTGTCCAAGTAGGATCCCAGGCGATCCAGCACAGTCACTGCCTCTTGCCTGTCCTGTGGCCCTGACCGTTTCTTTTTGGGTAGGAATGGCATGTAGCTCTTAGAAGTGTCAGTAGTTTTAGCAAGGTATTTGTTATTTTAGAAATAAGAGGACAGCTAGGAAGATTTCAGAACCCAAGTCCTATAAGAAGTGAAGTGTGCAAACACCATGAAGCCAGTGTTTATAATGTTAAAAATTCACGAGAAGTAAGTTGATCTGAATGATCCAGGTAATTTTGCCCTTAATTCCCTGTTTTGGGTTTATGTTTCGATTCAGAAAAACTTTTAACCTCCTTTGTCTAACCCTGAGAGCCACAAGTAAAATAAATATGGTTTTTAGTGTGTCCCATTAATGTGCCCAGCATTATACAAAACCACCACACTGGATCCTTTTTCTGCCCACCCAGCGCTCAGCAATTTGTCCTTAAACACATTTAAAAGTCTTGGCTGAGGACTCCAGTAAACAGCACATACAAACAAAATGTATCTACACATAATGACAACAGAGTAAAAATGTGTTTTGTTGTAGTTTATGGTAGTGATTGAACTGATGGGGAAAGAGTTCAATCGTCATTAAGAGAAAATAGTGGATTTCCTAGATCATCAGGGTAGTTTAGGCTTTTCTCTGCCACATTGTAGAATCCAAAGGCTTTTTTTTTTTTCTTTCTATTTTTAAAATGAGGTCCTTTTATCTTCCTGGACATTTCATCCCTGCTTGAGAGCTTCTAAAGCTTATTGTGAAATAACTGATGCAGAAACACTTATTTGGTTCCAACTGTATAGATTAAACAGTCTAGGCTTGAGGAGGATTTTTTTTTAGCGTTTCAAGGTTGGAAGTTTTTGAGAACTTGGGCAGGACATAGACTTCTGCTTTGGATAATATTTAAAACTTTGAGGAAGAAAAGAATTTTAAGATTTGGCTAGCTAGCTAGCTATGTAAGAGATAATTGCATCTGGCTTTCTGACCTCTAGTACGCTAGACATTATGTATTCCTATGCAAGTTGTTCCTATGAAGAGAAACCAGGTGTGAAAATCTTAACTGGGATCTGAGATTTATAAGGCTTACTATAGGGCAGTAGATTATTTCTGACATCATTTTACAGTTAATAAATTAATTCCTAGAATTTGCCTCTGATTTTGGACTGGGGAGTATTCTCTTAGGAAACCATCTTTGGCTGATTACAGGTTACTTTTAAAAGGAGTTTTATTATGTTGAGGTACTGGTGTTAGAGTTAATTTCTCTGAGATTGCTTTGACTGAATTTTCTTGTACTTAAAACAAGCAAAAAATTTGGCGGTGTTGGAATATTGATCCAAAAGATGTTTGGCAGATATTGGGCAGAAATCATGCAGTGAAGTCAGTTCTTCAGAAATTAATACAGCTCTTCATATCACATTCCTTCTTGTCAAGTGCTTAGTAATTTTGCGAAACTATTGGGGTCATTAAGAAAATTGTTTCTTACAATTGACACAGAGGAAGCGTACCATGTCAATTTGATGTGGCAACCTCAGGTTTTCATTGAGCATTAAGATTAATCTACCTTATGACTTTTCCTAAGTACATAATGGTTTTATACAGTTTAACCAAGTCTGGAGTCTCTCTTACTCCAGTTCAAATCTAATACAATAAACTTGTACTTTAATCATAGACTAGGGTTTGGTGACAGTGTTTTGGGTGAAACTGTGGTGACTTCATAGTGAAATGATGCTGCAAAAACCACTGCCAATATGGCATGCACTTTTGTTATTTTTCCAGTACTGGTTTTAAAATTTCCCTGATAAACCCTTGTGGTCATGCTCAGTCTTCTTTGTTTCCAGTGGTGTTTGTTTATTGGGTAGTTTGGATAGAGTAGTGGTTCCTTTTGGAGATGCTTTTATATATTTGGGGGGCATTCATGTTAATTTTTGCTTTGAGGACAAGAGCGATCAATGTTGGGATGGGGAAGAAGAAATATTTTGGTGGCTTAAAGCAACAGAAATGTCTTCCCTTACAATTCTGGAGGCCAGAAATCTTAGAATCCAGGTGTTGGGTTCACCACGCTCCCTTTGAAGGCTTTATGGGAGAATCCGATTTTGTCTCTTCCATTTTTATATTTTAATTGAGGGGACAATCCTCAATATTATAGCATTAAATGAAAAGAGCAAATTTGAAAGTTTTATACCGTGTGATGCCAGTTCTTTCCAAAAATACACCTATAAAACCAAATATTACTAAATATTGTCTGGTGGATCATAGATCATTTTTATTCTGATGCTTTTCTATGCTTTCTGAGTTTCCAAAAATGAACATGTGAACAAAAACAAAATCGTTTGGCTTCGTAGATTTCTTTAAATTTCCTTGCAGTATCTGTAGGTGTCACAAAATCCTTGGGTTGGTTACTTTTTGTTTTGTTCACAAGCCTCCCTGCAGGAATCAGACCTCCTCTGGTCCTGATAGTCTTTCTTCACAAGATTTCTCTCAGTCATTCCTTGATCCTGGCTTATTTTAGTGAGTTTGATCAGCTCTCCTTGTTCTAATCTGCTTTCCCAACCCATCCCTAACCAAATCGCTGGGTCCTCTGATACCTCAACTCCTTCTCTAATCTCCCTCTACACAAGGTCCAAACTTGACTTTCAGGATTGCCTAAATGTACCTCTGCACTCTGCAGACCATTGGCTTCAGCCACCTTTCCCTCTTGCCTTGAGCCTGAGCTGCTTTCAAAGCAGGAGTCCAGTCTCAGCCTACATTTTTGCAGGATCCCATCACCTGAATGTCCCAATCCCGGAGAGGTGGTTTTCCTCAGAATCCCTGTTATCTGTTATCTCTATTGAAATCTCTGTTATCTCCACTTAACTCCGGAATCATTATCTTCCTCCAGGTAGTTCTTAAAAATGATCAGTGCCATCTTATCACAGTATTCCCAGTACAGAACACCTACCCGCAAATAGTACCCCAGCACCAGAGAAGTACCACACAGTTGGAAGCTCTACACACACACACACACACACACACTCTCTCTCTCTCTCTCTCTCTCTCTCTCTCT